CTATATAAATGAGTGTCTGCTGCCCAAATACACATTTTTTTTTTTATTTATATGTAAGTATTTGCTCACGTATGTTTATAAGCTATACTATATACGTATGTAAATATGACAATTGATGCTGTTGTTATATATATATATATATATATATATATATATATATATATATAGTAAAGGTAATGAATCTGTTAGTATATAATCCAAGTGGATCCTAGTAATATAAAATATTAAAACGATCCACAAAAAGAGCTCAGTTTATTTATTATTACAAAGCCAATAAATGAGGTAATTTTATTGTGTAATACTATATATATATATATATATATATATATTCAGTTGTATGGATATGAGTTTGTGACCCTGAATTTCCTGATTTTGCGATCATCAAATAAACTGGTTTATTTTTAAAAAATTGAATCTTTATCCATAGATTCAATTTTTAAGAAATAAACTAGTTTGTTTGTTGATCCCAAAATCAGGAAATCCAGGGTCACAAACTCATATCCATAGAAATGAACATGTTGGCTCTATCACTGATATTGAACACTTTACAATTAGTACCGCGCATATATATACATATATAAAAAAAAAATTTTGTGTTTCATATGACCAAGCCAACGTGTTTGCTTTTATTATTGTTTATAGAAGTTAATCCAATTTAAGTTTTTGTTGATTATTTTTATTCATTCCTTTACTTGTTCCCTTTTCATCCATATTTCACACATCAAATGAATCTGTTATTACGGGAGAACGGCTCAGGGATTTTATTGCTAATGTTAAATTAAACGGTGTGATTATTTGTGTCAATGCCTGAACGCATCTTCTGCTCAAATCACGTGTCGGATTTTCTTTTTGTCCAGAACTATTAATATGGATATTATTGCGTTAGAAAAACAGTAAAAAGGTTAAGTTTAGCGTTTCAAACGATTTCTCCCTATCAAACACTGTTTTACCTTTCTTAAATTCTCCTTAAACTGGCCCCGTATTTTGAGTGGATATGAAAAATCAAGTATCTGAAATAAAACGAGAATTATCGGCAGAAAACAGCACGCGTGTTGCAGCAAGCCACCTTCATTCCCTTCATATTCTATTAGTGAGATGCAAGTTCCACTCGAGTAGTTTCTTCCCACGAACCGCTGTATTGTGGAAACGGCTCCCAAGAGAATGCTTCCCCGATTTCTAAAATCTTAACCTGTTCAAGTATTAAAACGTAATCTTCCCCACATTTCCCTATAATCTCTGTCTCTTACTAATACTCTACCTTGTGGCTCTTAGGCCTTTTACATGATGGACATCAATGTAAAAAAAAAAAAAGAAAATGCTGAAAATTAATCCTTGGTAATCAAAATTCACGGATTATGTATATATATATATATATATATATATATATAAAGTGAAATTGTTTTTATTTAAGTTACATAAATTCTAAAATTCAAAGGAAGGCTTAGAATATGAGACGAATTGAAAAAGAGAAAAAGCCAAGAAATCAGCTTTTGACACACAGAATTAGTTTGAAACGCTAAAACATACAATTTCTTTATTATTTTTAGTAATAAAAATGTCTGTAAACCAATAAGGAGGCAAAAATTTTCTTAGGGTTTTCTGTTGCTACTCAAAATGTTTTGCTTTCAAAATTCACACGAAAGAAGGAATGAAGAAATGAAAGAATGAAGGAAACATTAAGTGTTCGAACAAAAAAAAATGGTTGAATGCTTGTGATAACTTAGTCGGAAGATATGACAGAACGAAAATAAAAAAAAAGAAATAACCAGGAAACATTAGTAGCAGAGAAAAAGAAAGAAAAAAATGAAAATAAATAAAATTAAAAGCAACTTTCAAATTTAAATTCGGAAAATAAATCTACAAATAAATAGTTGAATGAAACGAAAAATAAAACCTCTACGTATAAAAATAATTTTCATCCATTAAAAAAAAAAAAGAAAGGGTCGAGCGAATTCAAAAGATGAAAAAAAAAACCAGTGGTTTTATGTTGTTAATACTTATTTACGTCACGGGTGTTAGTTAAGTGGTTAGTGATTAGGCCTAGAGTGTGACTGATCTGATTCCAACACGAGCAAAATGTAGAAAATGACTTTGAAATTTTGACAGTGTTTACGCCAACCAATCGATATATAGATGCCACGAACTCAAATCTTACCCCCACATTTGCATATTTATATATTTTTTGTTATTTTTTATTAATAATATACAAATAATCAACTAAGCTTAGACTGTTCATGTCTGACTTTGAACTTTTCATATTTGTGCCTCTTTACATACATACATACACACACACACACACACATATATATATATATATATATATATATATATATATATATATATATATATATGAGAGAGAGAATTTTACGGTATGATATATTTATGTGTCAAAGTGCTCAGTACCAGAGCGTATTTAAATGGAAAGGCGGACATTGAAAACAACACACACACACACACACATATATATATATATATATATATATATATATATATATAATATAAACAAACAAGTGGTGGCAGTTTTTTTCATGCTGGGTATTGACTTCAGAGTTCACTTACTCACACACATATATAAAACATTTATAGTGTACATGTTTCGTGTGTTTATATATATATATATATATATATATATATATACAAACGCTATTATAGTGGATGCTTCGTAGTTGAAATAGACGCCCGTTTATTTATTGAAAAATTTCCTGTGCAGTCGAGAAATCTTTAATACATACTGTTTGAATCCATTAATTCTTTATATATATACCTCGACATGGTGTAATGGTTAGAAAGCTTGTCTTGCTAAATCATTTATGACTGAGTAGTGAGTTCGACCATCACTGGGTGCCCCGTACTTTCGGCCTTGTGCTAGCTTAGAAAATCACTATATATATATATATATATATATATATGAAAGTGGACATTGTGGTCAGCAGAGCGGTGACAATCTGTTTCATGTTTAAATGCTGTCGTTTGGCCATATCGCCTAACGATTGCCTTTAAGCATGAAACATACTGTCACAGCTGGGTGTTAACTTCAGTGTCCATTTCTATATATTTACATACGCTCTATCCCCGATATTGAGCACTTTAACTCCTAAATATAGCATACGTTAAAACTATATATATATATATATTGAACAATAAAAAATATTAAAAAATTAAAATCTTCAGAGACACTGGGTTGTAGATTAATATTCTTTCGTTTTTATTACTATTATTTCATTTAGATTTCTCGACTAGTTTCGACCGAAATGGCCATCATCAGGAGAAGAAATATTTCTGCTTGCTGGTAGCAGTGAACTACAGAAATGAATGTCTTGATAGAGAAAATGAACTTTTGTCTGTCATATATACACACACACACACACACATATATATATATATATATATATATATATGATTGTTTCTCCCGTCGTCTTTGATATATGAGGATCCAGCTACTCAGATCTTAGAACTGAACAACCAAACCATCTGCACATTTAACTTGATTATAGAGTTAAATGCGCTTGGAGAATCAGCCACAGATTTCACAAGGAACAAATGAATAAAACTGATTCATTTAGTGTATAACATGTCTGACAAACGATTCTCTTCAGGTTTTGAATTCAGGTTTATAATTCTCCTAGGCTGGTTTCCAACCAAGGCTAAAGAGCTCAGTTTGCCTGTCAATTAACATAAGCGTGTATATATATATATATATATATATATATATATATATATATGTTGAGGAAATTGTATGACAAAGTGGAAAAAGTTTACTTCTGACGCTTCTCCTTCTTCAGGACATCATCGAACTTTTTGCGCATGTGCAGTCTCAGCAACATAACAAATTTAGGCCTATGACGTCCTGAAGGCGGAAACGCATCACAAGTAAACATTTTTCACTTTGTCATAAATTTAACCCCCATATATATATATATATATATATATATATATATATATATATATATGTGTGTGTGTGTGTGTATACACCGGGATTAAATAAGACTGCCATAGTTTTCTTCGGTTGAAATAGATCTATACTACTTCATATGAGGTAATTTTGAATTTTGTTGGGTAATATATATATATAAATATTTGAGTGTCCACGAAAGGAAATGTTTCCGATAGTGGAGCAAAAGGATTGAAAAAAAAACCGGTCCTGAGTTGGACCAAACTCCCGTCTAGTCCGCTTGTGTGTGTGTACATATATATATATATATATATATATATATATATATATATATATATATATATATATATATATATATATATAATCAGTCAGTCTACCTCTCTCCTTAGTTATCACCCTCACACAGTCTGTCCAAACCTCTGTCCAACTCTCTGTCTATACAGGTGTACATTACGAAAATTATTTGTAACATGGAGAGACTTTATGCCGAAGTGTTTCGTTCCTTAAGCAACTTTATCAAATGGGTTTATTTTTTCCGACATTTTCATTACTTCAAACGTCATTTTTAGGAGTTGTGAGTTATGCTCTTAAACACATCAATCAATCACATGTTATTATAGTGAGCACTTCTTAATTGAAATAGACGCCCAATTTTTATTTATTTATTGAACAGTGTGTAATATTATCTATGGACCTGCGAATTCGATAAATCTACGTCGAGAAATCGTAGTTTCCGGTTGGGATTGAACGTGCGTCTCCTTTGGATTGGAATCCTGTCGTAGCTCCCACGTATTTTACCAGAGGACAGATTTTTTTTTCTTGTCTTACATTTTTCTATGGACGTATTAAACACTACTTAATGAATAAATGAAAATGTGGCGTCTATTCACAAATAAGGACTGTCCACTGTGATAACGTTTGAAGTACGTTCATACACACACACACACACACACACATATATATATATATATATATATATATATATATATATATATGTATGTATGTATATACACTTACATATACGTATATATATATATATATATATATATATATATATATATATATATATATACACATTTTTATAATTATATATATGTATACATGTATGAACAAATGTTTGGAGGTACAAAATTTATAAATAGTTTTAAAAACTAGGAAACCATTGATTTTAATATTAAAAGTCGCTAGAGCCCTTTCAGCCAACATCTCATCAGGAGACAATCGTTGGATTAGCGAAATGAATAATAGCGATATTGAAGAGCAAAAAAGGGGAAACTAAAATAACAAACAAGTATATATACTTGTAACGATATATAATCATTTGAAGATTTTGGAGTCGGTCTGTATAGGATTTAGAAAACCTTCTCTCTGCCGGCAGAAAGAATTTATAAAGTCTCTAAATCTGTTGGGGGATATTTTATTTTAACTGTCCTCGCTATTTATTTACACGATAACCCTTCCCTCGTTACAAGAATATATACTTGTTTGTTATTTTAGTGTTTAGTTTCCCCCCCTTTTTGCTCTTCAATATCGCTATTATTCATTTCGCTAATCCAACGATTGTCTCCTGATGAGATGTTGGCTGAAAGGGCTCTAGAGACTTTTAATATTAAAATCAATGGTTTCCTAGTTTTTAAAACTGTATACATGTATGTATACACTTATATATACACTTATTATATATATACACACACATATATATATATATATATATATATATATATATATATATATATACACATACACACTTATGTAATTATAAAATATATTATTTTTTGTTCATGTAATATATGTATGTGTGTGTGATTATTTTCAGATAGTGCATATAGAAAGGAAAAATTAATAAAAAGACAAGAGAAAAAAAAAACTATTCTTAACCAACGCGTTTTGTCCTCCGGTCGACAATCTAATCACAGCATAAACAATATTCAGTTTGCATTAGTTTTCCCTCTTGTCTTTTTATTCATACACACACACACACACACATATATATATATATCGTTTTCAGGTATGATATATTTATGGATAAATTGGCTTATTATAAGAGGTAGTGGATGTTTATATGAAAGTGGACATTGAGGTCAGCACCCAGTAGCGACAATCTGTTCCAAGCTTAAAAACAATCCTCATGGCTTGAAGTTGACGCTGAAACATGAAACTGTCGCTCCTTGGTGTTTACCCCAGTGCCCATTTTATGATACCTATATATACACACTTATCGATCTCTCTCTCTCTCTCTCTCACTCTGTTTTTGTTTTATTTCTTCGAACTACTCTTTCACTTCGTCTCTCTCTCTCTCCTTCATTTTATATCTATCTATCTATCTATCTATCTATCTATCTATCTATCTATCTATCTCAGTCTGTCCATATCTATCTATCTCAGTCTGTCCATATCTATCTATCTCAGTCTGTCCATATCTATCTATCTCAGTCTGTCCATTTCTATCTATCTCAGTCTGTCCATATCTATCTATCTATTCATTTCTATCTATCTCAGTCTGTCCATATCTATCTATCCATTTCTATCTATCTCGATCTGTCCATTTCTATCTATCTCTCTGTCCCCCTCCATCTATCTATTTCTATTGGCTATCTATCTATTTAACCACGTGTCCTTTCCTCTATTCGTTCGTATGTATTTACCGATGCTAGGAATGCATCAAGCACGTTTTTCCAGACACGTGGTACTAAAACAATCTTTCTAAATCCAAATCATCCTTTATGTGCTGTGTCCCATCTCCTTGTCTCTCTCCCCCTCTCCATCGCTGTCCTATTTCGTGTTTGTCCATGTGAACTCATTTTAAGTCCCTTGTCATTCATTTCACTCTATTCGTTCCTATGTTTTTCCCGAGCATGTCTGTGAATGTCAAATTGAAAGCCTTTTTTCTTCACACGGTTTGTACTAAAACAATGAATTTCAAAATAAATAAATTATTCGGATCCTTTTTGTCGCTGTATTTATCAGAACGTTTTCGGCTGTTCACTCCGCTCTTCACGGTTTCCTACTGAACCCTTTATTTCGCTCAACGTTTTCTAGTTCCCCGTGCCATGTTTAATGTCACTCTTATCAGTTATCTCCTTTTTTCCCTCTGAAAGTTCTCCACTGCCTTAACAAGGTATTGAAGGATCTAAATTCCTCTACTGATGTTTCTCCCTGCAGGTCATGTCCTGTTCTGATTTTAAGTCAAATTGTTCCATTTGAATAAAGCTTTCTTTTTTGATCACATGTTCCTTCCATAGTATACTCATTATTCTTCTGTAAATTCTTTCTTCAGACAGATTCTGGTTTTAACCAAAATATTGTTTCTTAATATTTTATTTAACTTAAGAAATGCATTTTTTTCTCTCATATACGTTTTTCTTTTATCATATAAAATGTTGTAGCATACCTACGGACGATAATGGATATGCTCCTACTCCCATAAATACAGTAGTGAATACTGTATGTTGGTCTGCAATTGGAGATTTTTCTCCGATTGTGTTGGTTAAACTCTCTGCCTCTGGGCAGAGATGATCCCCAAACGAGTCTATGTCGAAGGGCAGAATCTCCTCTCGGGAAACAGCTACCCGACTTCGTTTTATACATGATCTACGAGAAATTTTTGGCCGAGCCTACAGTCTCAGATATCCCATATTAAATTCGGCCTTGTGCCACATTGACGCGTGGGGCGGTTGGTAGATATACTGCAGTTAGACATTAGTCTCCAGCTGCGCTGGTTAAACTTTCTGCCTCTGGGCTGAGAGGATCCCCAGACAAGGCTATATCGAATGGCAGTCTCTCGATTCGGGAAACAGCTACCCGACCTCGTTTTATACGGGGTATACGGGGAATTTTTGCCGAGACTACGGGTTTGGATACCCCACATTAAATTCGGCTCTGTGTTACATCTGACCGCGTGGGGCGGTTAGTAGGTATCCTGCAGTTGGAGATTCATTGTGGAATTCACTTGAGTCACTTCTAGCAGTTGACTACTGCTTCTACGCCGCTGGTGAATCTTATATGTGTTGTTCTTGTCCTAAATATTATCGTTCATTACCAACCGTTGTGTGATTATTCTATTCAGTAACCTTTCCTAGGTTATAACATAAACCCGATTTCATTTTATCGGTCACGCAACCATATCTTCCCTACTTACTGACCAGATGATGTTTATGCAAAAATGCGTTGTTACTCTATATCTATATGTAAACCTGTCTCGTTTTACCATAAAACGTATTAACTTATTAATAAAAACTATAAAAAAATAGTTGTTACCCAGTTTCTTATATTTTTATTTCTATTTTTTCATATTTACACTTTTTACATTGTTCGGAATATTCTCCTCATCTTTATTGTCATATTCATAACGTTTCGGTTATTGTACGTTCCGGCCTTCTTCATGTGATGTACGTTGGAATTTCGAACCGAACCCTTTCTTTCGGCCATTGGGATAGATTGTTCTAGTTCCACGTGCCATGCCTTTTCTGGATAAATCAGTTTCAGTTAATTCCCTTCAGTAACTACACTCTCCAAGTTTTTGTTCACCTCTGCTGTGACCAAGTATTGAAATCATAACTCTTTGTTTCAAATCACTAGATTACTTCAACCAACTTTCTTTTCTCTACTGGACTATGCATCCTTGGGAGATATCCAGAAAAGGTATGGCACGTGGAACTAGAATAATTTACCCCGGTGGACGAAATAAAGTGTTCGGCTCGAAATTCCAACCTATGACGTCGTGAATACGACAATAAAAATAAGGACAACAGTCCGAACAATGTGAATAGTGTAAAAATTTACAATACCTCATCTCAGAAATATAAACAGATTCTGAAAAAGGCCGAAGAGTAAACGGCCAAAGCGTCGTGAATATGACAATAAAGATGAGGATAACAGGCTGAACAATGTAAATAGTGTAAATAGTTACAATATCTCATCTCAGAAATATAGACAGTTACTTTTTTCGTATTTATTTTTTAATACTTCGGAAATTTTAAAAAGCAGAATTCATTTAGGCATGTTTTAATTGTTCTGAGAACAACATTTATTATAGAAAATGTAACTAATTTTCTCCCAGTACGCGGCCCAAGGGCTACTCAAGGTAGAGGGTTACGGTTTGTACTAGCGTAAGAAAGAGTAAGAAGTGAACTCTTTGGGACCATGCACGAAAGACAACGGTTAATTCTAGACTTGAAGAAGTCAAGATTTAATTAGTGAATAAAATTTCTAAGTTCAGACGGAGGCATTGGAAGCAAACATTTTTTTATGGTATAAAATCTCACAAAAATTATGACATAATTTCTGAATTTCTTCTTTTTTTTTTTAAAAAAATACTTTCATGGTAATTGTTTTCATGAACTTTTCTCTATGGTGCTTGGGACGTTTGGATTTAAGCGCAGTACTAGATTGGCTGCAAAGTCTTTTTTTTTTTTTTTTGCTAGCTGAAATGGTTAGATATAACCGTAAGTTCTATGCTAACAGTTTCTTCTCTCGGACTTATCTTTGTTGTTATTATGAGGTATCGGTCGATGTTCGCTCCGACCTTCTACAGGTGTTTGTCAATCCGTATACCTTTAGGAAATTTAAAATATTTTCCCGGCCATGTCTAGGGATAACTTTTCTTGTTTTTTTCTTGTTCTTCTGCATTGTTTTGGTTCTTTTTTATTTATTTATTTCTTCTTGTTGTTTCTTTCTTTTTCTTCTTCTTTCTTTTTCTTTTTCTCCTTTCTTTTTTCTTCTTCTTTTTCTTCTTCTTCTTCTTTTATTCTTCTTTGTTCTTTCGTCTTATTTTTTCTTTCTTGTTATTATTCTTTTTCTTTCTTTTTCTTCTTTCTTTCTGTTGTTTCTTTTTTTCTTCTTTTTTCTTCTCTTTTATTATGCTTGTTCTTCTTTTTTTCTTCTCTCTTCTTCTTTCTTATTATGCTTGTTCTTTCTTCCTTTTTTCTTATTTTTTTTCTTTTTCTTCTTTCTGGTCTTATTATTATTCTTTCTTTCTTTTTCATCTTATTATCCTTCTTCTTATTCTTTTTCTTTCTATCTTTCTTATTCTTCCTTATTTTTCTTTCTTTCTTCTTCTTGTTTTTTTCTTTTTTCTTTTTCTCTTTCTTTCTTTTCCTTCATCTTCCTGTTATTTCTTGTTTTTCTTCGTTCTTCTGCCTCTCTCTTCATTTTCTTCTTCTTGGACTTTTTAAAGAAATATACAGTTATTATTGCTTGAGTAATTATCCGGTACAAGGATTGAACTTAGAATTACTGTGTTATCAAAAATACGATAAACTCACTTTGTAATCCACTCTTCTATTGTCTTGGGAGCGAAACGCCATGGTAATAAAATGAAATAAAACCAAAGATGAGGACATTAGTCCAGGCCGAATCGAAATAATGATATATTATCATCCCACAGAAATCCAAACAGAAAATGTCCCCAGTTTTGTTATCACAACGTTTCGCTTGTTTTGCGCTACGGCCTTCTTCAGATCTCTGTCAGTTTAAGTAACCTTTGGAGAATTCAAAACTGAACCTTTTATTTAATTCAAGAAGGCCACTCTTCTCGTTCCATTGTTCATATCTAGAGTTTTGTTATCGTGTTCTTATTTTGTACTGCTCAGCAATTTTCTTAAATTAGATTAAGTCTGTACTACTCAGACCAGGACTTGAACTCAAGATAAATGTTACCAAACTCACGAACCATAGCTTTAATCTACTAGGCTAGGTAAAATAACCTTATTCCTTCAGTCGCGCTGGCATTAAGTACTGTATAGTATTACTGAAGCACTGAAGAAATATCTATGCGGTGATAAGGCGTGGTCATGTTACTACTACTGGATAATGAAAAACTAATGATAATACGTATTATGGTAAAGTATTATCTTTATTAAAGCCAGACCAGCTTCAACTGAATATATATAATAAAAAGGCTTAAACACTAATATTCCATGGTCATAATTTATTCCATTGGAATCGTAAATACGATCCAATTCATCAGACCTACAAATTCAAAAAGAAAACAGAAAAAAACAACTCCGGGAATAAAAAATAAAATTTAGTGAGAGTGTATGTATGAGAGTATAGGACGAATGTTAGACTAAATGAAAGCTATAGAGAGGGGTAACAGACGAGAGAAGAACAGGAAGGTCTAAAGATGAAGGGGGGATTAAAATTTAACAGAGAGAAGTTTTAAAGAGGGGTGTCAAAGACGGTTTAAGTGAGAGAAATATGAATATACTCGGATGTCTAATACATTAAAGATATACCGGAAAAGATACATTTTGTGGTGGCACACACACACACACATATATATATATATATATGAAAGGCACGGTGGAGTAGTGAATAGCGACTCGGATTGAGGAATCGGAGAGCCAGTCGAATGCATTACATTCACTTACGTGCTAATACCATTGGGAAAGGTCTGAATTCTCTTCTCCCTCCAGTCCTGGTAAATACCAGGGTAAACTGAGTTCTATAGCCTCTGAATTCAAAACCTGGATTGTTTGGGGATTTCTGGCACGTAGTGTACCAGGTCTCTGGTTGGTTCTGCATAAAGCTTTCACCACTATAATCAAATCATATATGCTGCTGTCTGGCTGTCGCTTCCTAGGAATTGAGCTGCTTGATCCTCATATATCAAATACGACTGGAGAGTCCACTATATATATATATATATATATATATATCGAATGTAATGAGATCGAAAATAACATATAAATTCTAACGTTCACAGAATTAATTCAAAAGAGTGCTCAATATTGATTGTAGAGCAATAATTATTTACTAAAATTTTTCATATAGACAAAAACAATTTACTCACTACAAAGATGCAACTTCTTTTCAGTGCATTTAATTGCACTTCGAATTGTTTATAACCATTTGGTTCTCACCAGTCGAAATGCAACTAAATGCGCTGAAACAAAGTTGCATTCTTGTAGAGAGTAAATCTTTTCCGTCTATATAAAAAAATTATAATATAATATATATATATATATATATATATATATATATATATATATATATAATTTCACCCTATACAAGAAGGTACTGGGAGCAAGGGGAATGAGATAACTTTAATGAGAAGAGATAGTAAGAGAGTCTTTTGTACAGTATTCAAGAAGACTGAAGATGGCGATAATGCCACAAAGACGCAAAATGGGGATATGGGGGTGGGCTGAAAGAATATTGAAAAGATATTAGAAGGTACCGGAAACGCAATCTAAATCAAGAAACGATGGATAAACCTCTACTCCTGTACAGAAGACTGAGGAGGTGTCTGAACCAGACAATTTCGTGATGAAGGACAAATAAGGCTGTGTGGAATCCCAGAGCATGAACAACACGCATGAAGAGTTGGAACATTTGAACGAAGAGTTAGATAGAATAAAAAGAATAAAAATACGCGAATTTACAGAAAAGATCAATCGACGCCTCAGTGAACCCATTTCCATAACAATCTATGCGCTCTTCTCTGGGCAAGGAAAAAGATGATTTTTACTTCATGGCAACACCTGCACACATATTACAAATGCGGCGAAGTAAACAAACACGGGAAAAGGATAGGAAGTTCTTTGGCATTTCAGACCCAATAATCAATAATCTATTATTATTATTATTATTTTGCAATACAGCTTAGCTAAAAATGAAGGCATTGAAAAACTACTGAAACGAAATTATATTAATACAAGCAGAATTACGTGCGCCTTGCTGCTTGTCCCACTTTTTTTCTTTTTTTTTTTTTTTTTGTAAGAAAATGATGACTAAATTTAAATCATAATTATAATTTGTGGGAAAAAAATGATCTTGTCGATGTGACCTCCATCTTCTGGCTTTCTCCTATGTTTTGGATTGGATTCATTCCCTTCTTCGAATTTAATTTAAATCAAAGGGAAAAAAATTCGGTGGCGGTGTCCACCGGGGGACACCTTTGATCAAAAGGAAATATACTTATCCAAGTACCCTGGATTATGTAGTTTCAGAATATATATGGTTATGGGGGTCTGTCTCCAAATCCCTAGGAGGTGTTCTATAACAGAGGGAGAGAGGCTACAACTTATATATATATATATATATATATATATATATATAAGTGAACATAGAAGTCAATATATTCACTTTTATATTTACACACGCTCTATCTCTGAAATTGAGCCCTTTATCCCATAAATATAGCACATCTTAAGACTATATTTCATCATATATATATATATATATATATATATATATATATATATATAGTGTGCGTGACGTTGATATAAATGTTTGAACAGTCTACATCATCGTCTCATATTGTCAGCCAGTTTACTGCATTCATTTTCGCACCAATGTCATTGGGTAAAGCATGAATCTGTCTCTTTTCTCCGATTATGCCAGCTAGATGTTAAACAGCAGAGTACACTTGGCTCTCTGACTGTGGAGGCTTACAGCCATATCACGTTGAAACACCATTTCCCATACGATCACCGAAATTAAACAACGTCTTCCATAATTCCATGCAGCCAATTCATGATTTTTTTTCTTTTAATTATGAAATATATTTAGTTCTATTTTAAAAGCCACCCTATTGAGCGGCATTTAAGCTAGCTCCCTCGGAGGGGCTCTTGATTGGTTCTTCAACCTGTTCATGAGTCCTTTGCATATATTCAGCATTGGAGGCTCTCTTGGCTGCTGTTTGATCAGGATTTTCATTTACATAGGACATTGTTTTCTTCGTTACAGCCTTGAATCTTAATTGTAATCTGGTCCTCTGTTGGCGAAGATTCCTTTTTGCAAGGAGGCATACTGCAGCCGTATGCGATAGGCAACAATAAACTCCAGAACTCAAAATTGATCGCTGCATTTAAGTATTGCATTAATATTTAAATTTACCTTTTAAAAGTTCAACGATAATTCTTCAGCCACCACTTAATTTAAACAAACTCCTGCTGAGAGCTCTTGATTGGGCCTTTGGTTTGATCAGGAGCTTGAGAGTTCCTAAGTCTTTGCATATTCTCAGCATTGGAAGATCTTCTAGCTGACGTTTTATCTGCGTTTTCATTTGCACAGGACATACTTTTCCTCGCTTCAGCCTTGCCTCTTTTGCTTGCAATCTGATCTTCAGTTGGCGAAGATTTCTTTTTTCAAGGCATACTGCTGCTGTATGCGTTAGGCAACAATTAACTCCAGAAGAACTCAAAATTGATCGCTGCATTTAAGTATTGTATTAATGTTTAAGCTTACCTTTTAAAAGTTCAATGATAATTCTTCTGTCGCCAATTAATTTAAAGAAAATCTGATGCACGTAGGTCCTTACTTTCCGTACAAACAATTATTTTAATTCCATGGGTGACTTTCGCTGGATTTTGCAACTAATTTCCATTATCCTCCAAATTATTTCCAAGTTATAAAAATTATTATCATACAAAAAAATATTCGCGAGAAATTATGTAAAAATCACCGAAAATAATCACAGTAAAGAAAACTTGTGAATTGACACTCTCGTTTATAGATATAGAAATGCGTTCTTAAATTTAGTTAGGCTTTTAGAATTTGTAGTCGTTTTTTATAGTTTATGTGAAGTAGAAAATTAAACAAAACTTGTGTAAACAAAAAATTGCTACCAAAACAAACAAACACACACACACACACACACACACACATATATATATATATATATATATATATATTAAGGGAGGCACGTAATGGATCGCGGCTTGGATTGAGGGACGCAGAGCAAAGTTCGAATTCCAGTCGAATCCATTACATTCACTTACGTGCTAATACCCTTGGGAAAGGTATGAATCCTCTTCTTCTCCCTCCAGCTATGGGTAAAATAGCAGGACAGACTGGGTTCTATAGCCTTGGATGGCAACTGGTCTAGGAAAAGACAACTCTGAATTCAAAACCTGCGGAGGGTCGTTTGGGGACCTTGTGGCATTTAGTGCACCAGGTCTCTGTATTCGTCCCTTCAAAAAGTGTGGATGGTCCTGCACGAAGCCTTCACCACTATAATCAATTCTCATGTGTTGTCGGGCTGTCGGTTTCTTGGAAACTGATCTGCTTGACCCTCATACGTCGAATTCGACGGGGAGTCGACTAATATATATATATATATATATATATATATATATATATATATATATATATATATATATATA